TACACCGATTGTGTACTGTGTATATCACCATTTAGCACAGAATATATTGACTTTTGAAACAGTGTGGGTCAAAACAACACAACGATTTCGAGACAAATGTGAGTAACCTGATGTTCAGGAAATCTTTTTTTGTTAGTCGCTCCAACATTTAGTTGCTTTTGGTGCGGAAGCCCAAATTCACGGATTTTGCTGCCTTTTGGGAGGCGTCAGCGACCATTGCCGGAATAGCGCTGTCCTCATCTTCCGGTATCTGGCTACGACAGAACTTAGGGAGGAAAAAAAGCACTCCACGATTCCAAAATTTTAACTGGCACACCATGCTCTCAGCGCATCGTCATCACACCTCCAAGTCATTGCCACTGGACTCCAAGTGGTAGAGCCAAATAAAGCACGCAAATTTTCAACATTGGGCCACACTAATAAAATGGCTTTAGGTTCACTGTTTTTGACCAGTGCTTTGGTAATGTCAGTGGGCCAGGTGCATGTCTGGATTGGCATTTGCAGCCGCATGGCATATACACTTTCAAACCAGAAAGATCTTAATTTCTCAATTAGTTTATTTTGGAGAATTTTGTCAAAAATTGTATATTTGACCATGTTTTGCCTGTCAGGAAAGCGCTGAAGAAAACCGTCAAGCGTTTTGGTTTTTTGTTTTTGTTTGGTTCTTGCCCTGTACACATTCATAGTCTCGACCAATGTGCTATGGAGCCCGAAGCAACGCGTGACCAGTGCTGCACACGTGGCCAAATAACGAACATCACCTAGACGACGATGCCTCTGGATTCATATTTAGCTGAAGTGGTGAAGCGGGATGTTTGTGCCTCATTTCATCATAAAAGTGCAAGAACCTGTTAGAACAAAATTTGAGCAAACCTTTGTGTTTCTCTAGACACGTAAAAGCCAGAACCGTTTTTAGTTCTGATGCTTTTGCAAAACTTTCAGTTTCCTATCGGGGCGTATAATTGCTATCATTTTCAAAGAGGAGATAGATGATTTTAATCACTTTTAACGCAGCAGGATCGACCCCAAGATTGAGGGCGGGGGGGGGGGTTGCACCTCGACATTGGAGTGGCCATGACCCTAAAAAAACACTATGTTTCGTCGCTGTGGAAAAACTGCCGAGAACCAAGGGAGTGGCGATGAGAAGCCGGAGTGGCGAGCGAGGGCGCTTGGGTGCACAGTTTGAGGAACTTCCTTTTGAAATGATTGACGCATAGTGTGTTTGTTATTTCTCGCTATCGCTCGCCATTTTGAAGACGCTATAGTAAACGCGTGAAATATGTTTAGCGGTCTGTGTGACGTTTTATGCATTTAATCTCCTCACTGGACCGTATGTGCATGCGTTTGACGATTTGGAGCCTCTTTGGAGTTGCAGACCACGATTCCCACACTCTGACTTTGTGAAAAACGTGCACACCATGTTCCCACGAAGCCGACTGTCCCGTGGGATGTTCCCGCGCCAGGCGCGCCCTAATGGTGCGCCCGGCGCGGCAGGCTGGCTGAATGGTTATGGAGACTCAAAGGGGTCCCAGACCTTGGCAGGAAGGGAGGAGGTGCCCCCAAGGACTAGTTCGCCTCCCGCCGTCCGCTGACTCCAGTTTAACCCCAAGGCAGGGACAGCAGATTGGCGGGGGGGGGGGGGGGGGGCGGAGCCTCTGTATCAGCTGTCCCTCAACTCAACTCCTGGCGGCATGCGTGCATGGACAGATTCCAGATCAGAATCGTGTCAGCTCCCCGCCTCCCCAGTAATTACGCAGTGACGGCTGCGGCCGCTGGTGTGCTAAAATCATTTTCCCCACTGAAGTCAGCTCTCCAGTTTTCACCGGCGGGTATTGAGGCTTTCCAGTTTTCACGGTGGATATTGACGCTTTCCAGCTTTCACCGGTGGATATTGAGGCTTTCCAGCTTTCACCGGTGGATATTGAGGCTTTCCAGCTTTCACCAGTGGACATTGAGACCAACTAGTGAGTGGTGGGGTCGGCTGTTGCATTGGCTCTTTTAAGACCGGATGCTGCGCTGCGTCTCATAGCATCGGTTACCGCGCTGGCTCCAGTGAGGTCAGGGAATGACCTGGCTGCGGTGGTACCGGCCGATGCTTTGGTATCGGTAAGGCCAGGTGTTGCCCAGGATCACCTAGCTTTATTCGAGGCTTGTCTTGATATTCCGATGTGGTCCTGATTTATATTGCCAGAACACATGCGGAATAAATGAGGCGAGAGCCGCGCACTGCGGCATGTGACATGCTATTCATACTGCGGCAGCATGTTAGAATACAAAAGCATATTATAGAGGCTATACTAATCAAAATGTATTCGCTGTTTTGTTCCGACTAATTTTGATTCGTGTCTAAGCCACGGAATCGTCAAATCTTTGCGTCCAAGTCTGCATGACATCTGTAGGCTGAATGCGGTCTGAGTTATCATTTTTCTAAACAAGTTGGTTACATCTTTCGCTAAGAATCATTCTTTACGAGTTTGACCCAATCACATCATCTGACGGCGCGAAATCGGACACAAGCAAGCTTGGATCGAATCCGTGCATCGTCCGGAATGGCCTCATCGAGCGGCGACATAAGCGGAACGCATAACACGGTCAAATGAGTTCTGAACACTCTGCGTCAGCGTCTCCACACTGTTTTTCCAGTGTCCGCCCCCACCGATTTTGTAACGTGTGCAGTTACAGCGGTTACTTTGCTTTGTGACTGTTGCCGCATGTGAAAAGCGCAAGTCCATCAGCGAAAATCAACGCTTCGTTTGCTTGCGTCGTAGACATCGCTAAACCACCCCGGCCGCTTATACATGTGAGTTTAGTTTAATGCAATGCACATTGTCCCGCTTTGCCGAGCATATTCTGGGCAGAGCCGTTCTCGATCTAGTGGTATGACATGTAAGGAAGACCGATCCAGAGACCAGATTAAGGCTGGTGTACCTTTTATGTGTGGATTGGTGCGGTGACCTCGTATACCGATTGCATGCAAGTTGCATGTGCACGGTTGGATGTTCTTTCATTGTATATGGTCTGACAGGACGTCAAATGGTGATGACCATGTTGATAATGATGATGAAAACGTAGCAACTTTTAAAAATCGTACGTTATTTAGCATACCCGCCCTTTAATGCGATGAAAAAAGATGACGGGTTCTCCCATTTCATCCGCAGACAAATAATGCAAACCCTTGACATAAACTATTTCAAGCCTGTTAAGACTTATTGTCGCTACAATGCATAGTCTCGTAAGCATGATGCTCCTAGCTAAATGAGCGCAATTCTCTAGAAACCTTGACCTTGAAGCTGGCATAATAGGGGCAATCATAGATGTAACAACATAAAACTAATACTGATCGCGACATATCGTTGAGATCAATGCGCTAGTGTTTTGCGCTGAACCGGACATTCATTACTATGGAAATGAAATGGAAGGAGAGTCACGTCGGCCCCCCGCTATCGGTACGCGTTATGAGAAACGGCAAATCACGGCGAGGGCTAAGGTGTACAGCATGTTCACTGGACTGGAAATTCGCAGATGACGAACTATTTCTTGTAGTGCCAAACTGATAAACCAAATTGACATTGAATTTAATGCTCCTCGTAAACTTCGTCCATGCATTAAGCCTTACGAAAGTGATACATATGGGTCAAGTTTCATCCACGCCTGCACTGGCTGGCTCTAAAATAGCAGATCAGTCTGTGGGTGGAGGCAGCATGGGGTCATTAACCTATGATCGCCAATTAGTCCATGATAAAATAGACAACATAATAAAATACACAATAAACCAAAATGTTTGCTCGTCTCGTTAATCATTTGCACCAGTCGTGTTTTCCGAAACAGCCGTGTTCTGCGATGATCTGGGATGGCCTAAGTCATGGATCAATTGAAACATATTTGTGTTTACCCTCGCTGCAGCAGCCTGGCTGAGAAGCGTGTACACACATGAACGAGCGTGCAGTACATGCGTACATGCAATGAATGAGCGCGACACCTGGCCTCTGAAGAGTAAGGTCCATTCACAAGTGTTCCTTTTAATATTTCGCTAATTTCAAATTGTGTTTCTGCTGGAGAATGGCTTCCCATTTTCAGTTAATCTAAGCCTCCTATTTGCAAAAGGCTTAGAATGAGGCGTACTTCACAGAAAACAACATCTTAGTAAACCTTAGTAACGGCTCACTGCAGACTACCGCTGTTCGCTAATCGCGTTGCATAACCACCACAGCCACGCTGCCGTCAACCGCATTGTTTAACCATCACAGCCACGATCATGCGACAAATACACTTACTACTGCTATGGAAAACATGCGTTTAAACACAGGGCGCCTGCACCGCCCTGTACTTAAACCCTGCCGCATGTTGCACTCAACTGTTGTTTATCCCAGTCCCGACGTTAACATTTGAAAATAAATTTATCATGTAGTTGCAGATGGCTTAGCTTAGAGGCTGATGGCTTAGAGGAAGATGGCTTAGAATAGCTTAGTATGTGAAGGAGATACCATGACAAAAACAAAAGGGTCTGCAGGGTGCTATTTGGTACAAAACTAGCGTGATACTAACAGTGGTGCGCTTAGTTACCTATTACCTGCATACTAATAGTTTAAAAAATTGTCCTGTATCTATTCAGCCCAGCATTCCAGCTGCAATAGATGTTGCAAATCAGAATGGGGAAGGGGGAGGGCTCAGGCTCTCCGAAAGCATATTGAGCGACGCCCCAGGTACGAGACCACCCTTAGCATACATGCGAATCCACCGAAGCGTGGTGCGAGCCAGACTTCACACGCGGATCGCTGCCGCACGCTCGTGACCCTCCAGCTCCGTCCAGCCGTTTCGGCGGCGACTCGCACTCCACGCCCGCCGTCGCCCGTAGTGGGCCCGGGCCAGCGGCGGACGTCGCCGTCAACGGGCCCGTCGTCGCCGTCGCCGCGTGACGTCACCGATCGACTCCGTTGCCATGTCGATATACTAAACACTGAGCCCAAACAAGGTGCGTCCGGCCGGCTGCCGGTCAGGTGGTCGCAGCCCCGGGCGGTGGGACGGACGCCGCCCACATCGGTGCGCCGCTCCGCGGCATGGACCCTGTCAGCCAGAGGTGAGCTCGGCCGCAGCGAGGGCGTGCTCGTAATGAGGGATGGGGGGCAGGAAGGCGCTAGATTTTTCAAGCGAAAGAGCCGCTGCAGACCCGAGGCATGCAGCTCAGCACGGCACTTGACAATCGATTGCGAGTGTGTGTAATCTAGCCGCGGCTACAGCTAGTGACCTAGTGAGAATAATGACAATTTATTCTGTTTCGGTAAAGCCAACCTGCATCGACGCATCAAATGATGTGCCTCAGAAAAACGCGAATAGTTCTGGAATGCAGGTGCATTTCCCGGATTTATCGGTATGTACATACTGAGGGTATGAGTCACCAAGCCCCAGTGGCGGCGCCAGCCCGCTGGGAGAGCATAGTCACTGAGACGGTACCCGGTCATCCGCGCAGATGCATGGCTATGGCCAGCTGTGTAGCTCAGCAAATTAAGCTGGGGAGGGGAAAGGGATCACTGAAAAGTGACAAAATCTTCTGAAATACACCAGCAAACGGTCTTCACATCGGATTTTGCCCAATTTTACTCAAAGCTGGGGGCTGGACACCAAGTTTGGGGGGGGGAGGGGACTGTAAACCCACCCGCAGGCTGAAGAGAAAAGTACACCCCTGGCCAAGGCCGTGCATACCTTTCTTTCCACTCATATTTTTTTAAGAACGACCCTGCTCACTCGCATTGACCGCACACACACAACACATCTCAATTTTTAGAGTGGATATTAACATCATATCATTAGGCGTAAAACGTCTTTTTCTCCCTGCTAATATCTTTTTTAATTACCGGGATCAGGGTTCACGCTAAGTTGTGCCCATTGTGTGGGTCCTGGTCCGACGGACTATACGACCGGGGAATCCCATGTCAACGGCAGAATTTGGTGGCAAAAGTGAAACGTGCCGTGATGCTTGGCACGATCTGTTCTGCCTTCCGACTTCACCTGACCTCGCGCTCACTCACCGCCCAGGTTTTCCTAGGTTGGGTCAGACATGCCTTAGTGTCCAATTTTTTGGTGCCTGGCCAGGCCATATTTCTACCTGGGTAGGGCAAAGTAGAATGCTGCTAAAGCATCGTCGCATAATATGCATGTTATAATGAAGAACAAAGTTCGGCGGCTGCACAGCTGATTATAAATCTAGGTCTATTGAGGCTATCAAATACATTGAAATGTGTCATAACGCGTCAGGTTTTATCACAATCAAAGGTTATGGATACTTTTGAAAAGACGCTGAAGCAGACTGAAACTATGTTTTTACACCACTTCGCAATTGACACTGCCAGCATCTATGGTAGTTATCGGCAAGCTTGCCAATCCCCAGCTTTGACTTGTCTGTGCGCCGCACCTCCTTACCATGACCGCTTGTCATGTTCGAACGAAGATTGAGCGGGCAGCCTAATGACAATTACAGTGATGAGGGGCTTATCTCCTACCTGATAAGCTGTTTGACAAACACTGCATGGCGCAGTCGGCTCCGATAGTAAAAAAAAAAAAAAAAAAAAAAAGACAATTCCAGGCGCTGTTGCGAGGATTTACGCGATCTCCACCACCATGAAAAAATAGAACGACTTTAAGGAAAGCTGAGCCCACAGTTCGGACGGAGCCTTACGGTTTCTTGAAAGGCGCACATGATAAAGTCGGAGGTCCTTTCGCAGCTGATATATATCATGAGCAGCATTAGAAAAGCCTTACCGGTTGATTTTAAAGAACATGGGAATTAAAATTGATCAGTTCGCGGCGACAAAATTGATCAGATGGCGGGGACAAAATAAAACAAGGTGTACTCAAAAACCGTCTTTACTTGGGAAGTTTGAAGGTCCCAGATCCATGAGTTCAAGCTGATAGCCTCAAAATTACCTGGATTAAGCAGGCTTTTGACATAAAGCCAAATGAAAGGAGATTATACGAAATCGACTTAAAATAAAAAACGAAACATCACTGCTGCACTGTAACATCGACCCTAAGGGTCACTGAACTTGTTAGATGCTTTTTTGGTCAGAGGTAGTAAACACTTGGACGCGAACCGTACAGTCGTTACAGCCTAAGCCAACGGGAGAAATATTGTATCCAAAGTTCCATGGATAACTCCGACGTATGTTTAGAGGAGAATAAGTCTATGCACAAGCATCAGCTGATACACCATTCAGTTGTTCAAATAAGTGATCTCTATGACCACCAGAACCGAAAGCTTCTGAATGCACAACTGCACTACACTGCACAACCCACCGTACACGCAACTCGGGGGCAGACATTTTGACCAATTAAGGACATGCATGGGCACTGCAAGGCAGGGCTATAATGCGTTTGTAGCACCAGTACATGTTGCCCCGCCCACGCACTCGCAAGTGAAATGGGAGCAAAGATTAAGGGCTATAAGTCAAGGATAATATATATATATATATCTATATATATATATATAATTATATATACCACAACCGATGGCTTTAAATTGAAGCGGCTGCAACTCCGAATTTGGCACAGGATTTTACCGACTAACCGCATGCTGCACCCTAAAGGGAGCGTGTCTAGTCAAGTTAGAATTTTCGACTGTTCACGTAGGATGGTAGGGATTTTCTATTTCAAATTTTGGTGTCCTCAGTTTCTATGAATTCGCCTCCACCAACGAGATATTGTCACAGGCCCCAAAATATTATTTGGTTTGTATGGACGAACAAAGTTATCGAGTAGCCAACCAGCAGTATTCACTACTAAACACATCGACATCATTGAGAAGGTGTCGTTAGCTCTAGCCAATGGCTTTTCGCGGATGTCGCTTGTCAGCGCTGACAACAGCTCGCAAACGCAGCGACGGCGGCGGCCATTATGTTGATGTTTTGTTTTTGTTTACATTCAGCTGCACCAGGCCCTAGGAAAATGCTGTTGTTTTATGTTACCTAGCAACCAAAATAATGGCCATGTCTGTAGCGCGCAGGTATTCGCCACATATAAGCCAGTGCATTCGTCCTTTCTTGCCCGCTGATTGATATATCTGTTAGGATGGTATTTGTTCACGCACAGCCATCGCTAGGATAGATAACAATAAATACATAAAACTGTTGCAAGACCCAAATGCACCCTTAGCAACCAAAACTAACCACAGATTATTGCCAAACTGCCCTTTGGCGCTTATGAAGAAAATCGAAAACATGAGACACACTCCCTTTAACGAGGTTAAAAATTCAGATCATTGTCAGCGCTGTCAGGGTCCCACAGAGACTACCCTACATGTTTTCTTGTTCTGTTCTGAATCCGTGGCATTCTGGGCCGACCTAAGTGTACGTGTGAGGCTTAGCAATTCACGATGCAGCAATGCATCACCAACATATACCCTTTTGTTGTGTCTGACGAAACACTGTCTGCGCCCGCGATCCGCCTATGTGTGCTTTTGGGTGATCAGTATGTGTGACAATGTCGTAATGGACCGCGCGACCCATCCATTACCGGTTTCACCCGATTTATTCAAAAGCGTTCCGATGTGGAGAGATGTGTGGCAGTGAGCACAAACACAGCTGGTGCGTTGAACAAGATGTGGTCCGTCACTCTAGACAGATTGCCTCTGAATCTACTGGACTGAAAGCCATGTCAGCGGAATGTACCGCTATCGTTTGGTAGCCACGGAAACGCGGGGTACTGCCAACGAATGTGACACGTGTGCACATAAACAAACCACCGGTGGAATCCGGACAAGTGAAGCAATCTAAGCGCTGTAACCAATTTTGTGCACCACGTGGAGCAATCATTGGTGGCGACAACCACGCTTCGCATTAGTGGATCTCGGTATATCCCCGAGTTCTCTGCAGCCCACCGCCGGCATTGTCCATGCAGAGTGCTCTCGGGTGTGACTCACTTGGACGGAGGCAACCTACTTTGCACAAGTGTTTCGCCACAACCTGATTGCAGGCGAGGGTTTGCAACGCCATGGACTGGTAATGTCACGGGATTTCCAACACATTTGTGAATCCCAGACGCTCCACCCATGAGCCTTTCTCATCACGTCCCGAATTCTTGAAACCAGACTTCTGAGAAAAGATGATCACGACACAGCTTATCAGTTCACGGTATTTACTGCCGTCGTCGGTTCGCACTGGCTTGCGCGCATCAGACGGGGATAGATAGCCCCAGACTATCAACCCGACACGTGCCTGCGTCATATTTTAGCTGAATGCATCGCATTTTTCGACAGTTATCTTTGCTGCACACCGAATATGCTCACTTCTGGCATCTCCCGTCTGATAACGCTAGGTTTTAGGGGATAAGCGCAGGAATTCTGGTTCAACTTTCCCTCATAACGCCACCTGCGTTTAGCTCGCTCCGACGAGCATAGAGGCTCCGTTGTGAACAAACCATTGAAGATATTTTGAATGGTCCATTTCATGAAGGCTAGATTGCTTCGTTTCTCGCGCCATACGCGCTGGGAGAAGAGGCTTCATGGGTGTTGGACTTGACTTCAAAGTTCATTTGGTCTCGTCATCAATGTTTAATAGATACGTTTTTCCCAAATGAATAAACGCGACATGCATCAGCGTACCACGTCATAGGGATTGAAGTGTCCTCCGGTGTGAGTGAGGAGCAGACATATGCAACGTACACGGAAGTCATGAAGAGGGCTGCACGCAACGAGGGAACTAAATGTAGATATAAATGGCAAGCAGCCCAAGCTTAAGTGAGGTGCCAAAATCATGCTCTGTGGGTCTCATTTCTTCATCAACCTGTCACTAACCGGGATGTGGAAAGGATACGTCTTCTTGTGAAATAGGTGGGATATATATATATATATATATATATATATATATGTTTTATATATATATATATATATATATATATATATATATATACACATCTATAACGTACATGATGCATATACAATATTCCATGCATTGGACGAGTTGATGTGAGTAGAAGTGAAAGCTGCATGTGCAGCATTTCTGTTTCGGTAACGTTGATTCAACAATGACAACAAAACGGTGTTATTGTTAAATCAAAGCGTGCTGCGCTACTCATTTCCTCCATGCTATAGGCATCCCCGCTCCATACATGATGAACATCGCTGAATTGTGAGCAGCAGCACACGTCTTTGAGCCGTACTTTGCGACTTGCAACCAGTGAAATCGATCTATTTACGATCGCACGGACCAAAGCAAGCTGCATCCACCGCCACATCCCCAAAAATTCAGCGTTTTTTAACTCTCTAGACTTGTTTGAGTACGCCAGCTGTGTTACATCAACATAGTTACGAAACGAGCCGCGCCTTTGCTCCTGCTGACCGCATGTAGAGCTCAAACGGCCACGGACGACAAACTGCTGTTACCAGGAGCCGTTGTCGCGTCCGGCTCCCATCACAGGTCCTCTATCTGTCCCCAGTGCCCGAGCTGTCAGCTCGTAACGTCTCAGAAAACCGCTCATCGTCTACAAGAGGTCGTCTCAAGGTCAGATCATGGGCTGCGGGGAGAGCAAGCCAGCACGGACACAGATCAAGGTCACGACCGCTCGCCCGGTGGGCAGTGACCCCACCGAGCAGGCCGTTGACCTCACCAAGCCAAGGTCAGGAAGGTCAGCCGGAGCCTCGGGTCAGTCCATCAGCAGCGTCACGCCCACTCTACTGGTTGAAGATGATCTGGATATCCCAAACTGCGACCTTGGGGTAAGTCTTTTTCAGGCACATGATTATGCCTGCCACGCTGATGACACGGCCGATCTTGTTGAGTATATATATATATATATATATATATATATATATACACATATATATATATATATACATACATATATATATATATATATATATATAGACATATATATATATATATATATATATATATATATATATATATATATATATATATATATATCGCTCTCTCTGTCTCTGTCTCTCTCTTCCTCTCTCTCTCTCGCTCACACTCTCTCTCTCTCTCTCCCTCTCTCTCTCCCTCCCACATAAAAATGCAAAAATCAATGACTCGCTTGTGATCCAATACTAGTGTGCATACCTACGAACTGATGTTTTTAAGTTGTCCAGACTACATTTACCGTTGACGTGTGTGGATATAAGACTCCCACTAGATTTGGCCCGCCGTGCACGGTGCATCCGATCACGTTACTTTTCAGGGCGTTTGTGGCGAACGTTGATGTAGAGTATAACACATATCTGCATCGTAAAAGCAGAATGATCGCAGCTTTGTATGACATCTGGCTGCATGTAAAATGAGGATGGTTTCCGGCATTTCCAAGTACCTACATCGTTGACCGCAATTTGCGTCGCGTCACATGTTACCATTTCGTTCCCAAATGCACTGGCTGTTAAGATTAACTACACCACAAAGCTATTTTCCCTCCAAGGCGTTCTCTTCCGTCCAGGCGCCCCGTGCGTGAACGTTGGCGACTGAGCCCCACCGTTACGAAACCCTGACCGCCCGGTCCCTGACCGGGCGTGCAGGTCCGTTGTCGAGGTCACGCCGACGTGCGTGACCTCCAGTCATTGTGGCGCACGGCATCCACTTCCAACGAGCGTCAGTAGCGTCAGCGTCCCATGTGTTTATCCGGCGCAGGCACGCACCGCACCACACTGGCGCGGCTGCAAGGGCCGAAGTATGGAGCAATCCAGCAAGCTGTTGGCTAACTGGGGCTCGCGTGTACATGCTGGATGCGTAGTTCCCTGATTTTTTTCCGGAGTGTTGTGTTGGTAAGGTTTCCGTTGGCATGGTCAAATTGGAAAGACGATGTACGTGTCCACAGTTCTAATCAGGTTGTTGCTGGACCTCATTGTTAACTGTAAAGACTATTACAACCTCTCCGGTGGTGTTTTTTTTATCACTGTGTGATTTGATGTATGGTTTTATGCTCTGACATAGGCCAGTGATTATGTCTAGCGGGGTACATCACCATTCTTACTCGGAGCTGAGATGTATTTATTATCACTCATATTCAATGATTCATTTTGCCCCAGTTCGTGACTGTAGACGACATGGACGTAAATGCGATGTAAATTATAGGCTTGGTCGAAGTTCTTCTATCTAGTTGGTAGCTGGTGCTGCAAACTTGGTTTGCCGCTACGCTGGACCTTCATAACGCACAGTGGTGCTGCTTATCGATATCCATTCATGCTGCTATCTGAGGCCATGCACATACACACAGCCATGGGGCAGCAGCCACACTGTGCGTGACACTAGGCTGCTTGCGTCCAGTCAATTTTTTTTGCCGGCAGTTGATGGATGTGGTGCTGACGGGTAGCTACCGAGCAGATATAGTGTGCAGCGGATGGCTAATTACTTTTGCTGTGTCCTAGAAATTGTTTTTGTTTTGTGTTTGGTGTGGTAAATGCATTTTCATAGTCGGAAAGGTAAGGAAGCCAATTTTAAGCTATCATAGGATCTCAAAAACGAAACTGACTTCCCAAGACCTTTAAGATGTAATTACTAGGGCATGCCGAAACTTTTGAAGTTTTCCAGATGTCTTGTCAGAAAGCTCTGTAGCCAGAGCGGTGTCCGAGAAGTATTTTGTTACCGTTTGAAGAAAATACATGTTAGAGAAGTGATCATCAGCAATCACAACGCTTATAGTTTTTCATTAAGCTGGGGGACAGACTAAGGTCAGAATAACATAAGAAATTCATTTAAATCCGGGAAATACATTTCTGCGTATTTTAGGGTATGGCTTGTCATTTTTCCCTGCTCAACCCCCCCCCCCCCGCGCGACTTATTATGGAACGTGGCGCCCCTGTCTTATGTTTATGGACATTGCACCAATAGTAGCAGTCCTTTCAGGCATCAGTAGCGGGAGGCGGCGTGTGGCGCAGCTGCTGCGCCACTCGCCATCACCATAGCTGCTGTGGTGTTTTATCACCAAATGGCATTGCACAAAAGAAATCCGGGCTAAATTGAACATTGACACAATCTGGTGACATTCCGAAGACGTTGGCCTCACGCATGAAAAAAACAACGTGGTAATATGAAGATTCGACACAGATTTCCATCCCCGAAAATACTGGTTGCGTCACATAACAACATTTTTGAATAAGACGACCGCAGTGACCGATCGTGCAAGGCGTCACAGCCCGCGCCGTTCACTGCAGTGACGGGCTCGCGGCTGAGACACGCCGATCACTGCAGTGACGGGCCCACGGCTGAGACACGCCGATCACTGCAGTGATGGGCCCGCGGCTGAGACACGCCGATCACTGCAGTGACGGGCCCGCGGCCGACACACGCTGATCACTGCAGCGACGGGCCCGCGGCCGACACACGCTGATCACTGCAGTGACGGGCCCGCGGCCGACACACGCTGATCACTGCAGTGACGGGCCCGCGGCCGACACACGCTGATCACTGCAGTGACGGGCCCGCGGCCGACACACGCTGATCACTGCAGTGGCGGCCCCGCGGCCGACACACGCTGATCACTGCAGTGACGGGCCCGCGGCCGACACACGCTGATCACTGCAGTGACGGGCCCGCGGCCGACACACGCTGATCACTGCAGTGACGGGCCCGCGGCCGACACACGCTGATCACTGCAGTGACGGGCCCGCGGCCGACACACGCTGATCACTGCAGTGACGGGCCCGCGGCCGACACACGCTGATCACTGCAGTGACGGGCCCGCGGCCGACACACGCTGATCACTGTAGTGACGGGCCCGCGGCCGACACACGCTGATCACTGCAGTGACGGGCCCGCGGTCGACACACGCTGATCACTGCAGTGACTTGCCCGCGGCCGACACACGCCGTTCACTGCAGTGTCGACCCGTGGCCGACGCGATATTTGGTTTGCCCTACCACAACCGTTTTACGGATGCATTTATTCACCAACCTGGGGCTTCGTTAAAACCGGCTGCATGCTTTCCCTGAGTAAGTGACTGCAATTCCACGAAATAACGCACCCACGACGCCTCGTACGGACTAGGCGTGCTCAAGATTTCCAAGGGCGTTTTAAATGCCTTAAGATTTTTTTAAAATTTATCTCGAATGGTTTGTATGGGTGACTTCGGATTCAGAGTACCTGCTAAGCATAGCTTGTTGCCTGTACCCCGAACCCACCACCCAAGCGTGCCGTCCTGTTCAACAGCTGATTTTGCCTCCGCCCTTTCGCCGGACAGGAATGCGGAGGGTTTTACGTGCCGCACAATGCTGCGACACGGCCGCCTCGGGTCTGGGTTGAGCCTCGTTGGCCAGCTGCCAGCTGGCCTTTCCGTTTCATTCGGGTCAAACAATGCGCCCACTCTGGGACTCGTACCCAGTGCCGCTGGATTACGAGTCCAGCATCTTTCCCCAAGACCACGGAGGTTTCTTGACATGTTTCTTCAAAATTTGAATGCCCTACTCGCGTGCCTCTAGCAATGCTCTCGTGGACAGCCCTCGGGATTTCCCAGCGCTACCGAGCAGCGTAGCCGAGCTCACGGAATTTGTCGCGACATAAATGGAAAGTCATGCCTCTTGCATGGCACCTTAACGGGGTTGCGGTAGATCACGCGAAGAATTTCGTAAAAAACTTGCCCCTAACACATGATACAATGCAATGGAAAATCAGCAGATGTAAATGCTTTCCGAAGGCGGCTTTTCGACCCTCATATATCCTCAGCAGCTGTATCCTTACCAGCTTTGGGCCTTGTGCCCATTCGCACAAGACACAACTGGGCATAGCATTATGCACCAAGATGTTTTCCATATTTGCGCCGTTCCTTCCTTTGCTGTAAAATCAAAGGCGTACGACAGAAGTTGCATGTCATGTCTGCATATTGTAACCAATCAAGCATTGGAAGTCTGGAAAGAAAAAAGAACACCGATGTGATGATTTACCAAAGTCCTCAGACCTGCAGCCCTTTATAGCATCATTCCAGGTCTGGCGCGTGGCTTGAGCTTCTCAAGCGGCCTGCAGCATCAACTCGCCCTTCTGCTCTCCAAAAGGAGCCCGACGCTCTTCTGCTGCTGCTGCTTTGACGCGTCTTCTCTTGCTGCAGGATTCACTTCTGCCGTTGCTGCTCTGACGCGAGTTCTTCCGCTGCAGGAGTCGCTACCGCCGTCGCTGCTCTGACATGTCTTCTCTTGTTGCAGGGTTTTCTTCTGTTGTTACTGCTTTGACGCGTTTTCCTTGGCTGCAGGAGTTGCTGACGCCGCTGCCGCTCTGCCGTCTTCTCTTGCCGCGAGATACGTTTCTGCCGTTTTTGCTTTGACGCGTGTTCCTTGGCTGCAGCAGTCGCTGCCGCCGCCGCTGCTCTGACGCGCCTTCCCTTGCTGCAGGAATCGCTGGATGCCACTGCTGCTCTGACACCTCCTCTCTTGCTACAGGAGTCGCTCGATGCCCGGAACGGCACGCTGCTTTTTGAGGACCTCAAGTCGCACTCGGCTATGTCCAAGGAAAGTGCCGACAGCGGCATCTATGATCTGGATGAGAACTACAGTCACGTGATCACCGAACACTCGGCGGCAGAAATGGTCAAGTTGGTTGAGCGCGACTTCAAGCCGCCATACGAGCTCGGTGAGTTCTCGCGCCATGCTCTCGAGCCGAGCCGGAAGGCAGTTTGGTCCCGCTAAGATCGACGGGTCGGAGGGTTGAAATCTGAGATCTGAGCTGGTAAGCGGGTTTCCGGCTATGGCTCAAGGCGACGGCGAATGCCACGTCACATTCCTGGAATAGGTGCGTCCTCAGCTCTTCATCAAAAGCCTTCGCTGATCGGATAGGATCAAGTTATCGTTGTTAGAACGTTATAAATACCTGCAAACAGCCTCGTTGCTCGAACAAGATGTTACCGGCACTGACACGTGCATGAGTCTTCAGGGGCGTCAGCTTTTATAACTAACGGTGGGAGGAGAGGGAGGGGGGCGACCCGAGGACCTGACAGCCTAACCTGCCCGTCCAAATGACTAATTCGCCTGATGACCCTTTCACCCTGTGCCCCGACGACCTCTGACCGGTCCCGGGGCGTTGAACGCCGCCGCTGTTCTGCAGAGCTTGAGGTGGTGGGGAAGGCTGTGCCGCGCCTCCTCTCCGGCTACCAGAAGAACCGCATGGAGGAGAAGCAGATCCTGCAGTCGCTGCGGGAGGAGGGGCTCATCGCCATGCCTAAGGCCAAGGCGACCAACGGCCTCAGGTCGGTCGATAGTCGCGGTCAGCGTCGCGGCGGGCTCGGTTTCCAGGCCGTTTCCAGGCGTAACACGGCCGTAATGGTGCGCGCTGGCACGGACGAGCTTCGCCTCGAAACCGCAGTAAACGGCCGGGATTCCCGCATACGGGGCTTTGACACGAGGCCCGTGTTTGTTTGCGACCACAGTTCCATTACTAAAGTTGTATTTCACTCCCGATTTTTAGTTGTCCATAATATTGTATTTCGGTTGTTTTATATTCGTTTTCCAGCTTTATGCTCGTTTTTTGTGCTGTATTTCATGTTCGTGTTGCAGCTTTATTTTCTGCGGTGGATAAGGGTCATCGCTGCCCTGCTGTCGTATTGGTATCACACTTCCAATTCCTATTGTAAAGGTTCATATCCTAATTCAAGATGTTCAATTTCAGTTCCCACTGTGATACAATGACGTTGCTTTGATGGTCCCAATGCTATCATGGGCTAGGTGGTTTTGGCCGGAATTAAAAAAAAACAACAACAGAAGGACAGAAACACACCATGACACTTAGCTCTCATCGATCTTATGCTTTTGTTCGCAACTTTTCTTGAACCGGTTACCCCGGGTTGAATGTTTCCTAATAATTCCATGTGGACAACTTTCTATCCACACTATGCTTTCCACATTATAGATGGTATCAATGGTTTCACTCGCGGCTAATAAAGCCTTCGTATCAGAGGCTGTGCCACGGATTTTAAGCTGGGGGAGGGGTGACAGAATGTTCCAGGGCTCCTGGACAAAGTGGGATTTCCTTACAGGGAGGCCACACGTTGTCACTGACACTGACTCCTAGACGGTGTCATGCTTAAGGGGCGGGGCGCCGGGATCACATAAACATTATCAGATTGCTACACGTATCAATGTCCACGTATCTAAACGTCGACCATTAAACAATCTAGAATATGGACCTTTTGATTAACGTAGAAACCTTTTGAACAATGCAGGGACCTTTTCGATCCGGCGAATCATCTCCCTATCCAATAATGGAAACTCCTGTTCCTAAAAAGGGCCTTCTGCTTCAAAAAGGGCCTTCTTATCCACTACACGATCCCACCGATTCGTGAAGAGTGCCTATAAATCCAGCAAATGCCCTTATTTTCCCAAAACAGGGCATCCTGATCCAAAACTGAGGTCATCTGATTCATGAAAGGGGCCTGCTATTCCAAAACAGGGGTCTCTTATTTCACAACTTGGTCTCTCAAGTCAACAAATCGGCCTCCTTAACACAAAATAGGGCATCTCGGTCCAGAGCACGGGCTACCAAGTTCCTCAAGCCTAGTTCATGATCCAATATACCAGCTTATTGATGTAAAAAGGCCCCTGCGAGTCCGTTTGAGCAACGTCCAGCTCAGTTATGGGGCATTCTTGACCGGAGTGTTGGTAACTTATGTGGAGCTACAAAGCCTTAAGCTTTGGCAAAAGGAGCCTCCCAAACTTTTGAGGAGCCGCCACATTTTTGCCTCCTTCCCTGTCAACAGGGGTAACTGTCCCCTTTCTCTCCCTCCTGCTGCTCCGCTGCCCCTGCTTTGTGTACTTTCGTGCATGCGTCGTATATTTCGCATATGATGAAGCGGAACGTCTTTTCGGTGTGGGACAAGCAAGGCTACAACATGCGTGATTGTCGTCACATGACGATGATACGTAAACAGTAGCAAATGAAGCCCATCAATTGTCGGGACCCTTTCGGATATGATTCACAAATGCATTGGACTATTTCACTTTCATGAGCTAAGCAGGCGGAGGCGCATTGATGTTCAGCGTCTATGCACAAATTTACTAATGGCTTCTGCAATATGGGCAAGTGATCAATTTTGATCGACGAGATGAACGAGCAAGTTACACATATCGTTACTTCGACAGGTGTATTGGAAAAAATTGAGCTTTTGTATGAAGAAATAGGTCACAGCGAACTAGAACATGCGACTATGTACTTTTAGAACCTCTGTCTCGGCAGCCATGGTTCAACCATGGTTGTCATGGCTGTCATATGCAGACAATAAGGCAGCCGGTACTCAGTGCCTAAGTATATCCACAGGTCCTACTTGAACAGCCGAAACCGTGGTGGTGGTAGTTGTAAGTTAAACGCTGACTGATAACAAAGTGAAAAGATTTGTCGTGTTGCAATCACGAAGAAATTACGAAACAGCAGAGACCAGCATCGCTCGTTTACATATCGCAGCACATTTAGCTTCATTGCGGTTCCCGGTAGCTAAGTTCTGGGCCTATATCTAACCCGCGTTGTGCAGACTTTTCACGACTGGAAATTGGTACATTTCCTAGACTTATAGAATCGGGAGATGAAATAGAACAATACCACAACGTTACAGAAATATGCCGGCTCCGGCAAAAAATCAGCCAGCATGCATTATAGTGCATCCGACATATTACAGCTAAATTTTTAAAGAATTGTACTACTAATTGCTGACAACCATCTGGTGGTACGATCATCGGTTGAAAATGTATACACCCGTGAAAAGCATGACCACCCATACCACTCCTGGCCACCGACGGTGCGTCACAATATTTCCACTTACGTAACGTTAAATTTGTTTTCGATCCGTTGAAGGTTCGTTCGCCTTGCGTCCTAACGCGTGGCAATACGAAGGAGGCTCAATGCATTACTACACGCCTCCCTCCGGTTTTTACTCCGGCTCTTCCTCTTTCTGCCTCCGGGTTCCCCTCCGGCTGATTCATCCGGTTTAGATTCATCGGCTATGTCCACTGCCTTTGTCCACTGCCTGCTCTTACACAGCTCTCCTGTCGCAGCCCTCACGGCCTGCTATTCGTGGTATCCATGCTATATGCCCGTCCTTGGCATCTCGTTCAAATGTGTTGTCAGATACTTTTCCTCCGTTTGGTGTGATTCATTGATCAAGTCCACTGCCTAAATAGCTCTCATAGCCTGCTATTCGCGGTGCTCATTTTGCATGCACGTTTAGAGTCCATACGCTTAAGCTCGGTCTCGGTCACACGCTCGTTGCATGTATATAAGTATGCAGGGCTTCATTCATGATTCCGTCGTGATTTCATGATTTGGCTTCTGCCTAGCTCCCGCCCCATCCGTTCGTCTCCGTCTTTCTCCCTTTTTGTACCGTCCTGCTGCATACCGCGTTTCTGCTTTTACAGCCTTCTGCATCGGACTGACAACGGCATTTCCGTGGCTTCCACCTCGTCGTTACAACCGCGGCGCTTGTTAGCGTCCTTTCTCTCTCATGCCCTCTCTGCTCCCAGCTTCGACATCGTGGACATCAAGGAGACGGACGGCGTGCAGCGGCGGGGCGCCTCGGCCGTCCAGGAGCGCCTGCCCTCGCTCCACCTGCAGAGCCTGGAGGCACGGCGGCGTGCGCACGTGCGCCGCGTCGACCCCGAAGCCGACCAACGCGAGAAGGAGGAGCGCAGAAAGGTCAGATAGCTGGCGGCGACGGGAGCCGGTCGCCATCTTGATGGCTTGTGTGGAGAGACGCTGATGACAGTGTGCGAGCGCAGTGAGCCGAAGGGCCGCTGTTTGTGGCCCACTTGGGCGAAGGCCTGAAATTATCAATGATTGGTTATTGCAAAGGCGATGCTGAATTCTTGGGCGGCGGTATCTGTTCCCTGTGGACGGTGTGAGTTATGCGCTTACCAAACATCCCAGAATGTTTCCCACGATAAAACTACGTGGGGCGTGCTGGACTATGTTGAGAACAGCAGGGCAAGGTTAGAGACGCCCGATTTCTAAAACACGTTCGCCCAATAGCTTCACATGTTTTACGTGGATATATGACTTTACATTTTGCATGGAAAGAAACCAGACGATAAGCTCAGATATGCCCATACACCCAGGGCATAGGCTCGAGAACGTTTCAAATGCAGGATGCCGGGTTCAGGCATAATGACATTCGAGCCCTTCCCTGTACATTCTTAATGTTTGGGGAGGGCTATCAGCACCTCTGTAGACGTAAGCTCCAGTCAAGGCCTACATGCCGACGTACCACAGAGTCGCCTGCCTAATGTAGCATTTGCAACACGGTACCGACGAAGCGCGACCAGAGTTTGGACGCCTATGGGTTCAGCTCCCATAGTTGGACTCAGGCAGCGATCTCTTGACTTCACAAATGATATGGTTTGACACGATTTTCGTAGGAGATAATCGCGTCGAATGATCTTCAAGACGGCTACTGCAGTATAAAACACCATACAAATGTGGGACACTCCCTTTGAAAAGGAAATTTACATCGTGGTATTCAAGATGGCTTTCTCAGTTCAAAACCCCATGCCAATGTAGAACACTTCCCTTGATGTAGGTAAACAATCACATGCACAAACTGTGGGGATAAAAACATAACTTTAGCCACATGTTTTCCTTCTGAAAAGATCATTCCGACATTTGCTCACCACCCCTCGGATCCTTCCGCATTCAAATAAATAGGATACGATGGGATGAATGGGACAAGTGGGATACACGCGGGATACGATTTCGATATGCTGGCTGCAGGTTTCAGGTAGAAAGATAAAGGGATGTTTTGGTTTCGTCTAGTGATATGACCAAAGCGGGACAAAATTTAGCTGAATTTCTATACAGTTGTACACACAACATGTGTTGAAAACCCCTCATATCCCGATCCATCGTACTCTTGGTCCGGGTCTACTGTCACCTACAGTGCTGTTGGATTTCAGGTCCTGTTGCGGAAAGAATCACAGCCACAAAATAAATGCAAACTGATCTTATCGCCCGTTACGATAAAGTTAAACTGCCTTGTAAAAAACATCTGCTTTTTCTTTGCATCCGCAGCAAAACACAGTTGGTAACGTCATGCCCTTTATGTGGAATGCATTTTCCTCTCTGCTACGGTGAATGTCTGCTGCATCATAGGAGCGAGTATTTAGTTTCCAGTTTTGGGTCACGTTAACTGCGTCGTATAGGATTCCTTGAAAAAGGCACCTGCAAATATAACTTACGGCCCGAAAAGTCAGGGTGCCACTATTCTTGCTGGCACCCGCACTCTCAAAAGTGGGAGTGCCACGGCACCTGCGGAGCCCCCGTTCCCGTGCCCGTGTTCAATACGATCCGCAGTCACTCCTAATGGTTGAATTCAATGCCTGCATGTGATGCCGATTATTCCGTGGGTGTGATAGTTTTAAAAATGACAGTTGTACGTGAGCCATGTGACCTGCACATGGCAATGAGTGCGCCAACATCTGGATCACAACGTACAGCCAATCATCTATCATTCCTGGCTTGCCAAGGTCCAAGCGCCCGCACCTGAATCAACCCCAATTCACCTGAAAAACATTGGAGTTACCAGAGGGTTCATACTCTTAGTCGGTGCGGCGATGCAGCCTGTGGCTAACGAAACATCGTTTCGATTAGAACAAAAATAGAACAATGGAAAGCTCGCCACCTTTGCAATTCCTCACTTTGGGGCGCCGCAAACATATGGCTTAAAGCAAAACCGCAATGCCGGTTTCTTAAGTTAAAAAGCCAACAGTTGTGAGAGCGAATGTGCCAATAAATCAGAAAAACCGGTATGACGCAGCAGCTGACGCGTTCCTAAACGAATCAGTGCAAGTCAGAACATCCCGCAGCTTGCTATCATCTGTATCTCAAAACTAATATTTTTGAGTACACAATCCCTGAGAGCGATCGCTGCAGAAAAAAGCGGGGAGCTTTAAAATCATGAAGTATTTGCACCTGTCACATCTTTCATGGCGAACACGACTCATTCGCCACTCAGACCATTCAGAGTGGGTGCGCATGCGCAGTTCCAGCCCGCCCGTTGTCCTTCCGACCGCGCATACCGCAAAGCTTTAGCGTCGGAAAACACGGGTCCATGCAGTATTTACGAGGACAGCATCGATGTCTATGACCTTGGCATGGCGGCTTGCCCGCTCCGAGTCAGCCGACGCGGTGACGCGGCGGTGGCGTCGGGGCATACGGTCCGACGGCCAGGTAGGCCGACCGTATTGATCTCGCACCCCTCCCCGCCGTCGTACGGTCCACTTCGCGTGACTGGCCGTGCATCGGTGGAACCAGACCGGTGTGCGGAGGGCGGCGGGGCGTCCATCGCCCGACAGGCGCGCCGGCCGGGATTTGGCGCGTGGGTGAGCTGAGGTTGGCCTGACGTCTGTCCCAGGGCTGGAAGGGGTGAAGCGGATTCCGGCCCCCCGGTCAGCAGTGGGGGACCTTTGCGTCTCTTTGAGATTCATGGTCCCGAAAGAGAATACTGGGAAGAAACAAAGCTACCAAAAATGCGTCATGAGCTTTTTTTAGTGCATTTTCGAGATCTGGCCGTCGCATGCTAGTAAAATGTTTCAAGATTCGTCCCCGTATCTCACAGCCAACGTCATGGTCTGTTTGGAACATTCGCCAGCTGATAAAATGTTCTCAGATTTGTCCCCGTATTTGCCAGCCAGCGTCGTGGTCTATTTGAAACGTTCCTACCAAACACACGAATGATCATTGACATCACACATAACACGTCACGCTTCCACTGAATGGAAACATTGGTCGGGAGAGCCTTCCAGAACTTTCCCTTGAGTGATTCAGAAAGTTGCACGCGATCGGCTGTTGCGTGATACGTCCGACCTATCAGTGGCGCGCGTCTGAGGCTACAGCTGAGAGTTCGGAAGCGATGGCCACATTCGTTCCACTGTGATAGCAGGTTCCGCCGGCCTGAGGTCGAACTTCATAACAGCCCTTTACAAGCTAGCATTTTTAGAAAAAGAGCAGGTGCATGACTTTCTACCATTGCCGAAGTGGACGGGAAATGGATAAATAAGTGATTGTGGGCTTGCTGCGCCCAGCGACGGAGCTGACCCTCTGAGAAGGCATGCGAAGACCAGCGCGATCGATGGACGAATTATGTTTGCATTTCTTCGGGAATCGTTGCGTTCTACATGATGCGCTCTACATGATTCATGTGATTTCCTGGCCGATCCGTCCTGTGGCTACCAGGATGCCTTACAGGAACCGGGTGTGATGTGTTGGCTGTCAGGCTCACACGCACGGTCATGTCTTTGATCGCGCATCCAACGTCGTGGCGGTCGTCGTCGTCACGGCCGCCGCCATCGTTAATATCGCCTTCGCCGCTGTCTCGACCGCTGCCGCCACTCTGCGGCACCGCCACAGGTAGTCGTAGGGGCCGGAAATGCCGGCGGTTCCCGAACACATTCGCCCCGTGGGCAGGTAAGCCGGGCAGTCTCACCGCCTATCGACGGCTGTGACGCCCCCCCCCCCTGCCCTCCCCCGACCGGTCCCACAGACCTGTCTCGGGGCCCCGCGCGAGAATGTGCTGTCCGACACAGAGGCGCCGGAGCGAGCCAGCGCTTGCGTCATAGCACTGGACCGAAACTCTCGACACCGTCTGACCTCATGCACCCGCCGCCCGCTGCCACGCGTCACTGAACGCCTGGCGGTGCACCGGCACTGTGGCCGGTGGCCTGGAGCGGGCGAGCGGCCGTCTGCCGTGAAGTGTTGCGCAGCTGCTGGAGACCGTGTGTACGCAGCAGGCGGGAGGGTTCAACCGCCGGCCCTGTTTGGATGTGGCCACTCGGTCGGTCGCACAGGCCGCGGGCCTCCGGTAACCACCCAGGGCGCGATCGTGGCCGCACAACAGCCGAGCTCCTCCCTGAGCAGCCCGGCGCTTTAGGCCTTCCCTGCGCAGTGTGACGGGTGTAGTGATCGAGCAGCACCTGGCGATCCTCGGAGCCACCTGGGTACCGTGTTCTCCTTCCACGCCAGCGGCAGACCCGTGGCGCACAACAGCAGGCCCCGGTAGTGTATAGCGGAGGGCCCGAGTGCCGCGCTCTCCTTCTTCATGGCCGGCATCGGAAGACCCGAATGCTGCACTCTCCTCTAGCAACAGCAGACCCAGGCGCCGCATTCTCCTTTCCGGCAGTGGTGCAGCCAAGGCACACGATCCTCCCTTCCTGCAGGCACAGACCCAGGCGCCGCACTCTCTCTTCCAGCCGCGACACGGCCGAGAACCGCGCTCCTTCCTTCTCCAGCTACAGACCCAGGCGCCGCACTCTCGCTCCAGCAGCGGCACAGCCGAGACACACGCTCCTTCCTTCCTGCGTCTACAGACCTAGGCGCCACACTCCACTCGCCCCCCCCCCCCCCCCCCACCCCAGCCGCGACACAGCCGAAACCCGCGTCCTTTCCTTCTTCCAGCCACAGACCTGGGCGCCGTACTCTTCCCTCCAGCAGCTTCAGACACACTGTTGAACTAGCCTAGCCCAAACAAGTTGCGTCATTGGTGAGACTAAATTTTTAAATCTGGAGTTGAATAGCATTTCAAGAACGTGGTTATCGCGTCCGTTCCCGCCCTAACCGGTCATCTCATCACTTCAACGTCGTTAGAAATCAAAGTAGTTGCTGAGCTGTCAACGTTTGGCTTCCACCGGCTGACTCCCAGTGACGTCACTTTTTCGGTTTTAATGCCACCGCCAAGTGTTCACGTAACGTCAGATGTTAGGACCGAGTTATCGTTATAGGACGACATGGGCTGACGCGGGAAATATTTATGGACGGGAAATATTTATGGAATATTTATGGACTTATGACTAGCCCCGGGCTGAGGTTCGTGATGAGCATAATTTTGTGCACGATTTTTTATGCTGAAGCAGTTAGATTGACTAACCAATGTGCAGCATACGTAGTAAAGATGCAGTTTTGTCTCAGTCTCTCGTATCTTGCAGTAGAGTTAATATTATCGCGTGAAAGAATTAGGTACCCACAGCATGCTTACGCATGCGTCTAAATGGAACGATTTCGTGAGGGTTTCATGATGCCACGTATAAAACACAACATAATAGCTTCAAGCCCTAAGCCACTTGCTGACGGCTGTCGATTTTCATCTGAGTTTTGTTGCTTTGAAAGAATCGGGCTTACCTAGAATTAATTGGCAATTATATCGACGTAGAAAGCCTCGGCATCTTTTTCGCAGTGTCTTTTTGCGCCCAACCTATGTCGTAATTTCCTTGTAATTTGTCCCCATTTTTTTGTTTTGTTTTGACACATGCCCTGTACTTAAGTACGCCACAGCGGCACTCAGCTGCTATGGGCCAACGTCGATGAAGGCAAAACTTTGCACACGGATTGGAAATAGAGTGCACGACTGACAGGACAAGCATCAATGGGAATCGAGAGACACCGCAACGTTTGCTGCGCGACTCAAACCATCCTCGACTGTCCCCTTTCCTACCAAACAGCTATCATCTGACTCTCACTCGCTTTGTTACAGGCGGCAGAAGAAGAAAGAGTGCAAAAAATCACTATGAAACAACAGTATATCGAGGAGGCGAAGCAGAAACGCATTGAAGAAAAGGAGGACCAGCTGGGAAAGAAGATTGACACCGCTCTAGACAAAAGGTATTTGGGACGAGGTCGCCAAATCAGGTCAAGGGAGGTGCTCAGTGGCGTTTTGACGTATGATACATTTGTGCATAATACCGCCGATTCATCTACACAAGAGGCAAATCTAATACAGCCAGTCCATGAGGGAGCAGTGCAGTCACCATGCAACGATCTTCTTTGGGCTTCCTCTACGAGAAGAGTTGGGCGTACCAAGGTTTTAAGGCGACTTGTTCCACGTCCTAACCATACCGAAGTTTGCTTTGCGGTGCTGAATTTTGAATTTTAAGATCTCAGAATGCTTTCCCCGCCCCCTCAAGGTAGTCCGAGACTCATGAACAATGCTCCTCACCCAGCGCAAACGCTCCCACGTCATCAGCCGCCTCCCGTCGTCCGCAGGCAGAAGCACCTGAACGAGCTGCGCGACAAGCTCAAGGGGCGTCAGGAGCACGCCAAGCAGGTGCAGCTGAAGAAGGCGCTGCGCAACTTCGGCCAGCCGGTCACCCACCACGGAGGCCGACCCGTCATCACCGAGGAGGACGACAAGTTCTTCAACTAGCGCGCCGCCTTGCTCACGCTGGCGCAGGTCATGGTGTGACGCCGGGCATGACTCCGATCCCAGTCGGGGTCGCCGAGTTACGTCACGGCGCAGTGTGGTAGAGTGACGTCACGCCGTGCTGCCCGTTGTGACGTCACGGTGCGGTGTGACGGAGTGACGTCACAGCGTAGGGCCGCGACGCTGTTAGTTGAAAGTCGTGCAGTGACGCGACGCGATGCCGCGGTTTCGGCGGGGTTGCGTGCTGCCCGCCTCGAATTACGTCACTCAATGCTGTGGCCGCCATGCAGCTGCCTCTGCGGACGTGATGGATGACGTCACCAGCTGGCGTCGCGTTCCGTCACCCCTGTGGAGTGACGTCACCATGCGCTGCGGCAGCGCCTCTCAGCTTCGTCAGTTGTTATCGCTGTGGGTTGTCGGAGGGGCACTGGCCGAAAAATGAACAGACCAAAAGGCAGGTAGAATGGGATCACAACCACAAGGCTCATCAAATATTTCCAAAGTCTAGTGGTCAGCCAACTCCCCCTTTTCTCCCCGAATATTAAGTGTACAGCGGCCGCTGGATGGCATAGTAGTCTCCTTGGTAACTTTTCATGCAAATTTCGCAATTGCTTGAAAGTGTTATTTGATTCTGAGTTGGTGAGTCGTTGTGCACAACTGCCGTGCCTTTATTCTCAGATGTTGTGGAAGCGCGAACGATAGTACTGCTGCACTCCGTGAGATTTTTGAACAGTTTACGGTGTCTTTGTTGTGAAATGACGTTATCAGTTGTATTTTTATAACTTTGGCTCCATCGAGTATATCGTTATGGCAGTGTTGCATTATTTCGGTTTCCATGCACTGAAGTGACCCCACACCCCACGACTGATGATTCTCCCTCGAACAGTCCGTGCGGACCCATCGTAAGAGCTGTGGACCTTGTCACTCGACCTTGTGGTTCAGTTCGGCTCAGTAAACAGGTATGTTGGGAAAGGGTTACAGTTCCCAGTCATGTGAAACCGTCGGAAGCCATGCATTAACGCTTGGATATCTGCTGGAAGGCGAGAAACACTGAAATTAGATTAGAAATCCAGAGGCATGAATCCATTGTTTGATAAAAGATGTTTGTCTTAGAGTCATCGTTATAGGAGTTCACTCAGCTTATGACAATCTAAGAAATATCAGCCATAGATTCGACCTGTGATAAAACATTCCGTCCAATGACTGTGTCTAGAGCGTCGCAGACGTTTTGCATATAATCCTCATTCGGTTGCTCAAGCAAGCACGACTTGCTGGAAATAGAATGAGGCCTGCGATAAATGCAATTAACTGAATAAAACAGTCTGTTAGGGTGTTTCTGTCGTGTAAATCTGTAAGCTGGAACACAACTGTGTCACGGAATGCCTATTCGAAATGACGGCCCGTCACAGAATACACAGGATCCGTTCCCGCCTTGATGGACGATGAGTTTTACTTACGCACTCCTCAAATATAAACCATTCAGGAATGTTCATGCTTTCAGACATTGGACTAGCAATTTAAGGTTACAAAGCTGTCAAGCAGCTCTGGCCCATTGCACTGTGATGTCGCCCCAGGCATCTGTGTTCAAGCCGTTTCGTGTCGCCCAAAACATGGGCAACTCGTCATTTGTGGAGCACCTGCTCTCCAGTCAGTCGCCCGTAAGTGACGTGTGCGCCGCCGGTGTGCAGGCCGCTTGTAAGACCAGACCTCGGCACGGTCATGGCCGTTGCGGTCGCCACTGCTGAGTCAAGGAACCACATCGCGGAGACGGGCACATGTGAACGGGAGTCTCTACACTCCTCGACGCTTCGGACAAGGCTGCCAGACGCGTGAAGACGCCTTCGGGCGTCTCAGCGCTTCGGGTCGCACCGTCAATCTTTCCTCGGCGGCCTCATATCAGCCCGGCGTCAGATTACCCTAGCTCCTGGCGCCACCGTCCGAGATAGGCCATACGTCACAAACCACCTCCCCAAGTTTTCGCCGAACAAACTTTTGTCGTGTGCGGCTGCCTCACACTCGCTATGCGCAGCCAAACTTTCCACTGGCCCACTTCCCTCGAGCCGAGGGCATGACAACAGCAGCCGGGGCATCGGCTCAAATGGACGTCACGGGCGTCGCGCGAGGAGGCATAGGCGGCGAACAGGGCGAAAGCACACTGCGTGTAAGACGGGAGACTGGGGTCGAGCTGGAGACGGGCGGGTCGGTGCGGGTGTCTTCAGCTGCCGCGGAGGGCCAGGGGACGTGACGATGGAGGAGGAGATGGGGTCAGCCAGCCCATCCGCGAACGTGACCCTGCGTGGCGGGCAGGGAGGAGTGATTGGAGGGATCGACGCGGAAGGTCGCGGCGGCTGGGCAGCCGGCGTGGGACACGCAGGCACCAGCGGCCGGAACGGGCGCGGGAAGCGGCGGTGGCGCCAATAGGGGCTGCCACTGGGGAGCTTCACCAGGAAGGCACGCGAATGGCCTACGCCCCCGATCGTGCCTCGTCTGTCCCACAACCAAGTCGACGGATCCTGAATGGACACATGAACCTCAGCACGCAGGCGGGTGGCTGCATGGACGCTTGACCACAGCGGTCTCGACCACAGCGGTCAGCACGCGCGGCCGGCCCGCGAGGCGGCAGTCGCGCTCTGGGCAGGGAAGTCCGGTGACAGAATGCCGAGGGCGATGAAGTCATGCAATGAGATCAGAGCGCTGTCAAGACCCTGCACGACAGATACAGTCACGCCAGCTGTGATCAAGCCCAAGGTCAGGCCGCATGTGATCGTTCCGCAGCACTGGAGCTCGTGTCCACCGGCTGCGTACAGTTTGTTCACGGGCGGACACAGATGGTCGACGTCGATGTGCAGGACTTCAGCCTGAACAACGCTCAGGTACGACGCCTCCGTGCCGGTATCAGGCGTCCAGAGGGCTGAACCGGCCCCATCTCGATGCATCACTGAAATGCGGACCTGAGGAGCGCGTCGAGACGACGGGCCACAAACGCGGACGTCGGCCAGGTCCGCGCGGGGCTAGTTCAAGCTTCGGTCGCAGGGTCGTGAACGGTGGCGTCCGCACGCCACGGCGCCACGCTGGCGACACATGCCCTGGAAGTTGCCGCGACGACCGCACCGGTGGCCGACCGTGCGGGACGTGCCTGTCCGTCGCCGTGAGGGCGTCGACCGCAGGCGGCGCACCTGTCCGGCGTCTGGGACGGGCTCGACGATGGGGGCCTGAGCGGCCCGGGCCGGATCGACGGCCGCTAGCGGTCCTGTTCCGACGGTAGGCGGACGCGGGGGACGCGCTCGCTGAACATGGCGGCAGAGTTCTGTCGGACGTTTTCCTGTGCACGACAGATGTTGACGGTCGACACGTCCGGCTGCAGGGTGAGGTCGCTTTCGCTCAGGTGCGCCCGCAGCGTGCTCTTGTCCTGGATCCCGGTGACAATGCGGCCAAGGAACTGCGAGTCGGTGCAATGCTGACGGAAGTCACAACGCTGGGCGGTTTCGTATAAAGCCACGAGATAGTCCTCAAACGTCTCACCGTCTTGCAGCTACCGGCGGAAGAACTTGCGATGGTCCAGGATGGTATTTCGCTGCCGACGCAGATAGCGCACACTCCATGCCACATATGATCGACTGGACGTCAGACGTGTTTACGTCGACATCCAGGCCATGACGGAATGTTCGCGTACCTCGGTCGTCTCACAAAGGGACGAGCGCAACGGGTCGACCCGCCGCCGGCCGGTCGTACGGACCGGTGAGGATGGCGCATCTCCCAAACTTTTCCCGCCTTGACTACTTTTGCCCGTGCGTACCCTTTAGTACAAGATAGCAGGCACCATCGACAGGCACATTATACCTTCCTTAACAAAACTCGATACGAGCGCTGTAATATTCGGTGCATTCGTAATGAATGCATGATAACGATCATCATGGTGGTAGCAGCCACAGCCTGTGGTGCGCTGTGATCAAACGGTGTCATTTTGAAAGCACGTACGCAGATGACAGTCGAATCGGCCAAAATTCCGTGGTGATTTCGAATAGCATAAATAGAATTGCACTTAGATTCCCAAGTTGTTGATGGACCACCCCACTTTCGCTCTCTCCGAAGCCCTTCTCCCATAATGAGGCACTAAATGACTGACAACAGGGGCCAGTTACCTGCCTGTAGATAACATGTGAGATAGTTTTTGAGCCTGCAAATATCTTGCGCTGCGAATTGATGATTACTTAGTTCAAAGTGTTTTGTTGATATACTATCATCTGACACGTTTTTTCGTCTGCGTACGTGCATTTAAAATTACACCGTTTGATCACAGCGCACCACGGGCTGTGGCTGTTACCAACCAGTGTCCTAGAATTACCGACTTTGGGTGTAAAGCAACACCCTATGAGGAGAAATTTTTCACTCCTTTTCCCCATATTTCATGTTAATTTTTCACTCCTCTCCCCCATATTTCATGTTAATTTTTCACTCCCGCCTGACCTTGTCTGATAGCACATGCCAAACCCCTATTTCCTTTTCTGAGGTTTTCTGACGTCATCCAAAACCGAGCTCACTTCAAACCACCAAACATAAACGAGGCTCCACAGAACCTGAACACCTATGGCTATGTCCTGCCCCACCCACATCTGAATTATGTCTATGTATGCACAGAGCAAGGGCGACAGGTACCTCCAAGCCCAAGAACCCCAGCGACTCCAGTCGCTTGCACGCATTAAGTTTGGTTTGTTAACACAGAGCATCACAATCGGCAGCTGTGTGCTAAATGCAAGGTTTTCACGTATCCCCTATTTATTTTTTTGTCTCGCCACCACACCACGAAAGCAGAACCTGGTGCAAACACCAGCAAGGCCTGGTAGAGAATATTACTCCACGTATTTCTTTTTTCCCGAGGAAACTTGTCCACTAAATTGGATCACTCCCGAAATGCAGGAGCAAAAAAATCAAGAAATGTCTTCTTAATTAAATTTTCAAGATGAATATCACCATTTCAACACCTATCTTAACATATTTTAAGTCAACTCAGCCTATTACAAAATTGTGTCGGAAAAGTAGCAGTTTTTATATTTAACTACCTACTTTTGTTTTTCAATGTATCATATGAGTGTGATGCCACTTTATTCTTTCTTCCTTTTTGATTACCTTTAGAGGTACCATCTGTTGCTTAAAACGTTGAACACATACATAAATTGAATTCATTCGCCATCCGCCCAAACATGTTTGATATGCACCCTAGAGTGAACAATTCACAGGGAATAAAGGAGCCAATTTGGAGCACGGAACTTATTTTTACCGCCATTTTTGCCCTGTTAAACCTTCGGTTAACCGTTTTCTTGGTTTATGGCGGTGCTCACTAATGATAAATCTAAGCCTTTCGGGTGTCTAACTCACCAGGCTGCCTGACAAGGCTATCCCAATGCTGTCATATAGAGCCTTGAGACAGACCTGACGCAGCTAATACAGAAGTGTTCGATGGCGAAATTGTGCCCTCTGGAGTTGTTTATCATGCGCACCTCTCACTTGTTTCGCATTTTAATCTCGTAGGTTGATGGGTAGAATTGATATTTATATTGGGGGGGGGGGGGGTGAGTGGGATGGCTCTGTCTGCCAGCAGACCATGCAAATGGTACTGACTTTTTGTTTTGGGGGAGCAGGAAGAAGCTGGTAAGTCTCCTGTGGACCAAGTAATTGCCTATCCTACTTGCTTTCCACACATGATTGATAATCAGAGTTAGCCATTTTCTGTCTTAGTCCATCGAGTTTTGTCATGAGGCAAATTATGATGTCACAAGGCATCCAATGGGTTTATTTTGTTCCATATTCTAGATGATTTACCCCAAATTTCTTGAAGTGGTCCCTCATGGCTGTTTTAACCAGATGTTTCTATAATTGTCATGGTTTGCTGACTGGCCAATGACTGTACTGCATAAATGCACCATATTTTGAACACAGGGATGCTCTAAGCTGCATAGCAATTATAATATGAGTTAAATGTTAGTATGTAACGAATAGACCATCCCATTTAAAATGTGAGGGCAGCATCTCAAACTTTGTCATGAAATATGAATAAACAAGCCTAAATAGACGTCTTTGCTGCAGCTGAAAAGGCAAGCAGCAATACTGGCATGGTCATCTAAAAGTTATGTTACTTTTTGAGAAGGGAGATTATTTTGTGGAACGTACCCATTATTACCCTTGACATATGTTAACCATGGCAATCAAAATAAGTTGTTCAAAGTGATTTAAAACGTGTTGATTTGTGCGTTGTCACCTTTTTCTGATGTCAATAAGCATACACAAATGAAATGAATAAAAATACAAGTTGAAACCAGCCAAAAATAAGCCTTATCATATTTTTATTACAAGTGCTGCTGTCAACAGATAGGTGAGTTGAGATGATGTTCAACATATGGGCTACGCTAAGTTAGGTTAAGTTTGTTAAGTGCATGACAAGT